GATTGATTTCAGTAATTCCATTTAAAAAGTGAAACTTGTATATTATATTCATACATTACATACAAACTCATATATTTCAGATGTTTATTTTGTTTAATTTTGATGATTACAAATGACAACAAATGAAAATCTCAAATTCATCATATCAGAAAATTAGAATATTGTGAAAAGGTTCAAAATTGATGGCCCCTGGTGCCACACTCTAATCAGCTAATTAACTCAAACCACCTACACAAGCCTTTAAATGGTCTTTCAGTCTAGTTCTATAGGCTACACAATCATGGGGAAGACTGCTGACTTGACAGTTGTCCAAAAGACGACCATCGACACCTTGCACAAGGAGGGCAAGACACAAAAGGTCATCGCTAAAGAGGCTGGCTGTTCACAGAGCTCAGTGTCCAAGCACATTAATAGAGAGGCGAAGGGAAGGAAAAGATGTGGTCGAAAAAAGTGTACAAGCAAGAGAGATAACCGCACCCTGGAGAGGATTGTGAAACAAAACCCATTCAAAAATGTGGGGGAGATTCACAAAGAGTGGACTGCAGCTGGAGTGAGTGCTTCAAGAACCACCACACACAGACGTATGAAAGACATGGGTTTCTGCTGTCGCATTCCTTGTGTCAAGCCACTCTTGAACCACAGACAGCGTCAGAAGCGTCTTGCCTGGGCTAAAGAGAAACAGGACTGGACTGCTGGTGAGTGGTCCAAAGTCATGTTCTCTGATGAAAGTAAATTTTGCATTTCCTTTGGAAATCAAGGTCCCAGAGTCTGGAGGAAAAGAAGAGAGGCACTTCATCCACGTTGCTTGAAGTCCAGTGTAAAGTTTCCACAGTCAGTGATGGTTTGGGGTGCCATGTCATCTGCTGGTGTTGGTCCATTGTGTTTTCTGAGGTCCAGGGTCAACGCAGCCACATACCAGGAAGTTTTAGAGCACTTCATGCTTCCTGCAGCTGACCAACTTTTTGGAGATGCAGATTTCATTTTCCAACAGGACTTGGCACCTGCACACAGTGCCAAAGCTACCAGTACCTGGTTGAAGGACCATGGTATCCCTGTTCTTAATTGGCCAGCAAACTCTCCTGACCTTAACCCCATAGAAAATCTATGGGGTATTGTGAAGAAGAAGATGCAATACACCAGACCCAACAATTCAGAAGAGCTAAAAGCCACTATTAGAGCAACCTGGGCTATCATAACACCTGAGCAGTGCCACAGACTGATCGACTCCATGCCACGCCGCATTGCTGCAGTAATACAGGCCAAAGGAGGCCCAACTAAATACTGAGTGCTGTACATGCTCATACTTTTCATGTTCATACTTTTCAGTTGGCCAACATTTCTATAAATCCTTTGTTTTTATTGGTCTTCAGTAATATTCTAATTTTCTGATATGATGAATTTGAGATTTTCATTTGTTGTCATTTGTAATCATCAAAATTAAACAAAATAAACATCTGAAATATATGAGTTTGTATGTAATGTATGAATATAATATACAAGTTTCACTTTTTAAATGGAATTACTGAAATCAATCTACTTTTTCATGATATTCTAATTTTATGACCAGCACCTGTATATATATATATATATATATATATATATATATATATATATATATATATATATATATATATATATATATATATATATATATATATATATACATACATGTATAGAGAGAGAAAGAGAGGGAGAGAGATAAATAATAAATATAGAATATAGAAATATATGTATATAATATATTACATATATATTAAATATATGTAATATATATAGAGATAAATGCTACCCCTCTTTTTTAGTTTTTTTCTTCTTAGGAATACTGAATAAGAAGTCTGCAATGGGGGATCTTTGTGGTTCAGACCGGCCAAGTTATGCTGAAATGGATCAAAACCAAAACCGTTTTGCAGACGATCAACAAGATTTTGAAATTCTGTGTTGGTCAGGGCTCATGCAGCAATATTTTGGATTACAGTAACAGAAGCCTTCTGGATGAGACCTGTACAGCCAGTAGAACCTAATTTCCGGATCTTACTGATAATTTTAAAACTGGCCTTGTTTTAAGGTTGGTATGGTTATAGGCTGGTGAGATTTAGATAAGACTCTGTTTATATTAAATTTGGTTTGGAACTCATAATACCGTTCTTTGCTTTGATCTTTTTTTTTTTTCCATCTCTTTCAACTTTCCAAAAGTAACTATTTCTATCTATACTGCTTTAGACTGCATTTTAAACCCCAGGAGACAGTTCAAACAGGCTTTAGGAAATAATGAATTACTGGACATGTGAAGCTTTTACCTGAACCAACACCCGGAGGCCTGTTGGGTTTTCCTTTTATGATTTATTTATTTTTTTTTTATATTTTTTTGATTAAACTTTAACTATAATGTCTCAGAAAGTAGGATGCAGAATTTAGACAAGACTTAAATTACTTAAAAAGCGTTTACTCAAAATAGTGACTGAACGGATCTGAACATAGGTTAAAGACTACGATAATCTGATGGAGGATGATTATGAATGCGTGAGTCACTAACCTGGTTTGACAGTCCGTGCCTAAAGAACAAGGATGATTCCAGCCGGTCGGCTGATTAGACACAGTGGATGTTGGCAAAGATTTCCAGATGTGGAAGTCTAGAAGGCTGCAGAACTGACAGGAGATCAGGGCCCCGAGCAGACGAAGGAAGGCAGGATCATCCACAGGGCGAAGTCAAGAGGCAGATCCAGGTTCAGTCCACAGAAGAATCCAACAGGAGTCCTAAGACAGGCCAGGCAAACAGATCTGACAGGGGCAGGTTGGCTCAAAGGTCAAAATACAGAAATGGATCATGATCAGGCTATCGGAACGCTATAGAAATGCTGCAGAACTCTCAACACCCAGGGCTCAATAATAATCTGGCACTGATGGCTGGGACCAGGGAGTTTAAATAGAAGGAGGAGCAGGTGGATCAGATGAGCAGTGATAAGAAACAGTGCAGAGCTACACAGGTAAATGAAGTGGGCAATCATGCCCACTTAAGACACCCCCCCCCCCATGGAGGATAAAAAGTGCCAAAATTAAATAAGTAAATACAGCATTAAATAAATAATTAAATGAGTCAATAATTAATTAAATGTGGAATTAAATAAATAAATGTGTCATTCATTAATTAAAACCACGTCACTAATATAAAGTGCCACAATTAAATAAATAAATACAGCGATAAACAATTAATTAAATGTGTAATTCATTACATAAATAAGGAATTAAATATATAAATGTGTCATAAATTTAATAAAATACGTATTCATTTTATAAAAAAATATATATATAATTATTTCAGTGTGCATTTAATTATTTCATGGTCCTGTGTCGCAGTGCATCGAAACCATTAAAAGAATCTGTCAAACTCACCCATCAAAGTTAGGGGGCGGGGTTAACGCGAATCGAGTCGCCACCTACTGTATCAGAGTATGTTCACAACCTGTGGATCACAGTCTCTGTAATCGATTTGCTTCGTCTTAATGTGCAGGGTGACCAATCAGGTGTTAGATAACCGCCCCCTAACTTTGAAAGCTTTCTTTATTATTTGATAAGTGATGACATACCAGCTCTTGTATCTTTTCTGGCAAAATTGATGAGCAACTTTTTGCACTGGATATTATCCTTGTAGTTGATTAAGGAGCCACCAGTTGGCCTGGGCTTAATGGGTAGTCTATTTCATCTACAATCAATGAAATGGAGACAAAAAAAGAAAATTTGTCAAGACTTAAAAATTCTGTTGTTAAATTGATTAGGTTAATACTGTTACTTCTTTTCAATTGTCAAATAATTAATGTTTATGAGACAAAGTACGAAATCAGACGCAGGTTTATATAATTTTTTGTGGCTTTTTTTCAAGCTATCTTATCTGCAAAAGCCAACAAGGAAGATTTTTATGATTTCGAAGTTTATGTTAGATGATATATAGTGTGCCTCACAGGTTTTTACTGCTGACATGAAGTCCATCTGATTGGTACAAGGAGGGAATGTGGTTCAGCTTTAAAGCCAACAAGGCACTTTACTGCTTCTGATTCATCCTCACTCTGTCTATATAGCTGCAGCATGGGCCCTAAACACATGCACATGTTCTCCATGCACATTCTGAACTCAGTGAGTCAAACTGATGCAAGTCTGGATCATTTGTTTTTTAGTTGCTTTCATCTCAGCTAGCCAAAACAAAGACAGTTTCCTACTGGACCAGAAAAATGCTTATTGTCTTTAGAAGGCAGCACAAAGCAACAGTTTAACCAACATCACTGAAGTTCAACAGAGGCAGGCTTGGACTTCCTTTTTCAGAAACAGCAGGAATTCATATAGCGTACAGAAAGCAGTGGAAAAACTAGTCTCATGGTCTGGGGTACAGTTTTCATTGCACGCTTACTGATCCAACAGATTTACTCATTCTTGCCCTTTGACAGACAATCTTGGACCTTTGCAGTGGGAACTCGTCTAAAAAGTTTAATTCATTTCTGTCAGTGATATCTTTGCAAAGAAAAAGTGGACTTTTTCTCAGACTCAGGCACATTGATATACTTCAACAGAAAAACTGTAACTGGACTTAAGATCAACAATCTTAATGTTCTTAAGAACCCTAAGATAGGTGTAAAAAAGGAACAGAATATAATAAGCCTATAAAAACCTTAATTGCTTCCTCTGAAATAACAGAGTTTCAAACCCAAAAACTCTTTTTTAAGGCATTTTCCAAAAATATTATAGGGTTAACCATGGCTAAAGATAGAAATACCATGTTTAGAATTTTAGCTTTTCCATTGTAGGATTTGCTTTTTGTTGATCAAATATCTGTTATTTATAACATGCTTTAAATTGCTACTAATGTATCTGATGTAAACTTTATGGATGATGGCTGATATCTAATGACACTAAAGCTGAATAAGTGTTTGTCTTGTTAAGCTGCATTAGTCCCTTAAAGGCCGTTTTTTTCTTATATTCTCTCTTCTGTCTTTGTTTGTCTTCTTTTACAGATCTACTGGCCTCCATTACCAGGAAACAGAGAAGACTGTATTCAAACAGGGAAGGAACAGGTGAGCGTATAAGCGATCTATACATATTTTTTAACAAGTTTTTCTAAATATTACAGCTTATAAAATTATACATAGAACTTAAAGCTTATATATTTGATCATGTTACAATGCTTAAATGCTTTTTATGGGGATTTTATGTGAAAGACCAACAGAAACTATCATTTTCATTTTGGAATGCAATAAAATGTAGATATTCTTTTATCTAGTTCAATATTCATATCTGTTAATTGTAAATCCTTTTGCACAATTTTTAAATAGTGTTTCTTGTTTCCTACTGAGTCCTTGTGTCTCCCTTTATAATCTATCTTTCTTCCAAATAATTGGACTCTTTCTTTGCATAACTGTCAAAAGCAATACAACAGATTCTCTGATTTTTCTAGCCTAAGTGATCCAACCTCTAAACTCCCCTCTAAAGGAGCAGCTATACTTTAAAAAAGCTTGTAAAATCGAGAAAGCATTCTGAAAGCTTATCAGCTGATCTTTGGTTTTCCATTGTATGCAGTTTTCCGGTTTCTTCAAGTAACTCGAGAATGCATTGTCAATTGTTAAAGGTTTAAACATTTGCTTTTTATTTTGTTTCCAAAAAGAAATTTAAATTATTAATTGGTGGTACTGATACTGTAAGTAGTTCTCAGTGCATTAAGAAGACAATAACCAGTTATTTTCCTACATTTCATTTATGTTTCAATATTTGTACCCAGTCATGGTTCACTGTTTTAATGTATTAACTCTGGCCAGTGTCAATGAGTAAAAGGGGGTTAATGATACATCCAGATTAGACATCAAAAATGAAATTTTGAGAACAAAGATGTCTGTGTTGTTTTTTTGAAAGTTATCTCCACTTTTTTGATTTAACAAAGTGAAGTTGTTCAAAGACCACCCATGTTCTTCAATAATCCACTAATAAAGAACAATAATTCACATTCAAATAATGAACTACCAAACACAGAAGATGATCTTTGAAATAGAATCACTCTATTAAAATCTTGTATTGGCCAGGGCCCAGATAAAGGATCCTAAACATTGCCCTCTGGCATGACTGATGCTGAACTCGATAACATTTGGATAGAGGTACAGTTCTTTGTGCCCACTGTTCAGTTAAACACTAAATGAAGCAATTTAACTATGGAATGAGGAACATATAATAAAAGGAATGGAAAAATTTTATCTTCTTTAACTCGTGAAACTAGACAAAAAAAAAGGCTTTTGACAAAAGAATCCTGAGGTTATTTTACTGTCACTTTGGAAACATATTTCAGAAACACCAAAAAGGTTGACAGGGTACTGCATCTGGAACAAGTTAGCCTTTGGTGTTCTCTGGGATTTACATATAAGATATATTGTATGTGTTTGAAGTGGCAGGTGTGTCTGGGGTATCATATAGCAGTTTTATTGAGTGTCTCCTAAATGATGCTCATAGGAATCATTTGGAGGAAGATGTGCAGAAGCAGAGGAGGGACGACACATTGAAGGATCTTAGCGCCTGCAGTGCTTTATCTAACTTGTGGAAGGGAAGTCAAAAGGCTGTGCATATTGATGCCCTACTGCTTTCCCTCAAAAATGCCGTTTTCTGTCAGTTGTTTGGTTTTAAACTGAGTGAAAGGATCTCACACCCGTAACACTGACAACCTCACGCAGGTCTGCATGTGTTATGGCCCATCTGTTTGCTGTGCATGTCTGAGACAGGCAGAGTTGAAAGGTGAAAGGTTTTCACCTTGTTCTGTTTAACATACATGTGTGTTTGTGTGTACATGGGCTTGATGATGTGATAAGATATTTATAGACTTAAATGGCGCTGAAATTAGAAAACACTTGACTTTTAATGGGCATTTTAACATAAACAGGGCATTTATGTTAAAACGTTTTCCTTAGATTACAGCTGTGCCATGTGTCTTATTAAGAAAAGTCTTTTATGGAAAAAAGCAAGAAAATGCAGTTTGTATCTAAGTGAAAACCTCACAGCTGCCTCAGTCATTAATCATTGCTGAGGCAAATAAATACCAGGCAGAGGAAGAGTGAAAGAATTCGGTGACTTCACTTTAACTTGTTCTACCTTGTTCTCTCTGTTATTGTTTTCCGCTTCATTGGTTTGTATGTTACTCTTGAAAGCTGACTAAATATAAGTCAGGCTGCTATTCCTCTTTCTAGCAGAGAAAATGAGACATGTACTGTAATGCTATGCAGTGTATTGCCTCTACACAACTTTGTAATACATATGTATGGCAGGACATTAATGACAAAAATTTGTAGAAATTCTTAATCTTACCAAAGATATTTTTAGATACCCCATTTTCTATGCCACATTTTTGGCATGATAACAGTATAGCTGTAAGTATCCAACAGGTTCAATGATAAAGCCTAAGAACAAAAGAGCTGTTTAGTTGTATTTGAGGTTTGCTCCCTCTTTGCCTATTGTGTGTTCAAAGACTGGTTAAAAATAGTTTACTTCATTATATTTTGTCTTTTTTCAGAGTTAAATATTTGTGATATGTTATTTAAAATTATTTCCTGTAAAAAAATAGAAAAAAATAAATAAGACTGTATACCAATGGTGTTTGTGTGTTTCCCACAAGCCTATTCACCATACAGTATGCTTTACAGAGGCTTCAACCTCCCCACACATGCATAGTAGGCTCTGGTGATGGGCTTTTTAATTTCTATTTCACCTTTATTTTACCAGAAAAGTTCCATTACCGGTAAGTTTGAAAACATTAAGGGAGTCCTTGGCAAGCTGTCAGTGTCAGTTATGACTATCATTATGCCAAAAATGCAGGAAAAATGCATCAGCGTGTTCGTCAGTAAGAAAAAACATTTGCAAAACCCAGGTAGTTTTATACCAACAAATGGGGCGATGTTACTGCTGCATAGGTGTTTTTTGGTGATTGTGTATATAGATGCAAATGCAATACAACTGTTGAATAAGTTGTTCAAATTCCAGAGTCTGTATCTATATAATCTATAATACTAAAAATGGTCTGTAAATGCAATTTTGCATGAGGTGTTCATATTATTACACTATTTATCATCAGCATTACTAGTAAAAGTTCATGAATCATTTTTTACGTCAAAATTGGCATGTTTTCATAAATATGATAGGGGTAATTGTGGGTATTAAGAAAATGATCTCATTATATCCAGAAAACCCGTCCTGCTTTCTGGAAATGTGAACTGGCTAATTTCACTTTTAGCAGCTGTAGAAACCAAACAACTGGATGGTCCAGTTCTTCCAGCTGTGAAGCCGTTCAGGTCTCTTACCCATACATATGTTGCTTTTATGCAACTTTTAATTTGTTTTATGCTTTTTGTTAACATTAGGAATCTACATTTCTTTCCTACCTAGAATTGTTTATAGACCAAAGTACCCTCTGTCAAAAACTTGCTTTGCCCCAGCTAGTTTACTGTTCATACATCATGTCTCAGTACTTAAGCTGTCATTGGTGTTAGTTTAGTGTTATATTGTAAATGCCAAGTCCTAAAACTAAGTGTTTAATTAATGACGGCAAAAGTATATTTCAGTTCCAAGAGGTGATTAAAAATGTCACCATGTTGTGGCTTAGAGCTGAACATAACATGTATATATATCTATACACAACATTATAAATTTATTTTTCTTATAATAAATAAACACATGGTTGCCCATGGCTCAGAATAAGACATTAAATCAATGCAATCTGTTGAGCCTCCTTAGGAAGATAATGATCTTTTAATGAACAACAGAATTAAAAAAAATATTGAATTACAAAGGGAGTGGACCACTTTTAATAGAGTATAAATCATATTATATAATTGGTTTGTGTGTGACTAACTGTGGGACCTGATATTTGTGGGAATTGTATCTATAAAGAATCTGAAGGAAATTATTACATTTTCAGAATTATACAATTGTTTATTGGTCTTAGTGGTTTTATTTAGTCACATATGTGTCACACTTAAAAAAAAAAAAACTGGTAAAGAATAGCAGGAAGACTGACCTAACATGTCTAGTGTTATGTTATCACACTACACCTCAGTTCACAAGCTAAACATTTTAGTAATTTGTACATTTTGCAAAGCAGTCTTTTAACTTTTTAGATTCTATATGCACATGCCTGTCAAATGTAGCTTAGTTTAATACAGGAGTCATGAATTCATACTTTTGTAGTTTTCCTTTCTTCAGCATTAGTTTTGTAATACTCTTTTAGTGTTGGTGTCAGACAAGCTTCTACACATTGAAGGAAATGGCAGATTTTCCCTCAATGTTTTCTATTAACCTCCATACGGTGAAGGGAACGTAATGATATATATATATCCCTTGTTAAATAGTACGTAAGCAGAAATTACAGTAAAAAAAAATAACAATAAAAAATCAAACCCAGATTGCTTTACTGTTTCTTTGAAAAGAGGCAATGAACTTTTCCGTTGTATGTTCAAGTGTGGCTAAACTTTTGAATGACTGCTGGAAACATTTCTTTCTGTTTTATGTGGTAATTAATTTACAATATTGACAGTAGAATTACTCTAAGCAGTGTAAATTGTAGAGACATGGAGAACCGCTTTGACAGCATGGCACTGATCCTATTTATTTATGTTAATGAATGAGGCTGTAAAAATGCATAAAGCAATATTTAACATGTAAAATTGTTCTGGTCAGGACACACTGAAGGGTTTTTGTGGGCAACATAAACAATGTTACCGTTTGCGTATATTTCTGTGCGGGAATATTTGTGGTCAGCCAATCTTTCCTAATAACCGGAGCTAAACACTAAGAACATTGTGGGCTTTTGTTTTCATCGGCTATTTATGCTGTAATTTTCAATTCTGGCAAGAAAACTTCTCCCTAAGAGTTTTAGTAATCAAACCACTTGGTTTTTTGCTGAACCACACTTCCTTTGCTGCCACCCCATCTCTAAAAGACCACACAGAATGGTAATACTCTAAATCCCAGACTAGAAGGCTGGAGACATATTTTAGCTTTTCAACTTTCATTCAACACCTTGGTCTCAAAGGTACCTAAGAACTCGAGGACAACGCTCTCGCAGAACATAAGGCAGATTTACACATGGTGGGTTGACTCAGCTCAGCTGGACATCGTTCATCCTGTTGAAAAACACAGTGTTTGCTTTTTTTGGTGACTCAGCTTTTTTGACATTTAATAAAACTCAACAAAAAAAATACATATTTTACATTTTAATCTTCCTGGCTGCAGTGTGAATTGTTAAAACCAGTTTTTACATGTACTCCTAAGATAATTCAGACCCCTAACCTAACACAGTATTTCTAAAAGTACAAGTATTTCTAAATCCAGCATTTTTCATTGACAAAAAAAGCTAAAAACAATTAAATAAATAGAGCAAATCTAACACATTCAACCTTCCCGGTGTCTGGTTTGGTTAATGAAGAAATAATAAATAAAGCACTAATTAATTAATTGACAAACAAGTTAAAGTAGCAGTTAATATTAATCCATTTACAATGTAATTCTCAGACACACTGTTATGAAACAAAATAAAAGTCACATTTCTAAATATAGTATATAGTTAAATAGAATCCCTTCAGTTTGGGTAGAGATTGACCTTGAATTAAACCCTAAAATTGGTGAATGAGGTAACATCTTCCATGTCATCATTGTCTCCACTAGATTTTTGTATGTTGAGGGGCTCTGTGATTGGCCAACCTATTTTTTTTAGAGTGGAGTGATACCATTAGAGGTTTGCTGTCACGAAGACAAAAAAATGAAGCAAATGATTTACATGCATTTAAACAAGAGAGAATTATGTAGACATTTGGTTTTGCTGATAATGTGCTACCATTGAGATAGTTTATATGTATACTGGAATCAATAGTGTAGAAATTAGTGGTCTGCTGAATCCTAAATGGGTGGATCATTTTGCACGACATCAACACCTCTTTATTTGTTGATAAACCATGTTGAAGCAGAGTTCTTCAGTGTCGGGGTGGAGGTACTATGCTTGGAAATAAAGCAAGCATAGTAACATCTGTATTATTCCTCAAACTAGAAGAAAAATAGAAATGTAGTGTTCTACCTTTATTCTGGAGCATACAAGTTATTCTTGAGTTATTTTGTTGTATACTTTAAAATGGAAATTTGTTCTAAAATCCAGGTTACATCATCAGCATCTCAACCCACCATCTGATGTTAATACGTTTGTCACCAGCATTAAACTGGCTTTAAAAATGTGGGCAGTACAACTCAATCTTGTCAACAGTGGGTGGTGAGGTTGCTCGAGGACCCAGATGCAGAGACGAGTGAAGCAGAGATGAGTTCTGAGAGGTTTAATTGCAGACCAAAGGTACTGTAGCAGACGCAGAAATCCAAAAATCCAACTTAAAATATAAAACAAACCAAAACCATGGAGACATCAAGGGGAAAAAAGAGCCTGAGGAGCCACGGGCAGATGAGCTGAGTAGATGAGTACAGCATAGAGAAGGAACCAGCACTGAGTGACTGCAGAAGTGGAGTATTTAGCACAGGTGTCAAACTGGTTCCAGAAAGGGCCGTGTGGCTGCAGGTTTTCTTTCCAACCAAACAATAACACACCAGACTCCATTCATCTCATCAAGTCATCATGCTCAGATTGAACTCCCTTAATGAGATGATTGGAGTCTGGTGTGCTATTGCTTTGTTGGAAAGAAAACCTGCAGACACACGGCCATTTCTGGAACCAGTTTGACACCCCTAAGGAGAACAAAACAAAGGATGGACTAACGAGCTGAATGAGGAGCAGGTGTGGGTGGAACTGGCAAGAGGGAATCCAAGGGGAAAGATATCACAAGGTGGCAACAGAGAGTAACTAAAGAATGCTAGAATTTTATGTAAAATAAAAACAAAACAACTAACAGAAAACTCAGAGTTACAACAAATGAGAACCATAACAAATCTATTCTCACAAACACAAGTCTATTTTAATTAGCATTTTTCCTATGATATCTCAGACTTTCCTATTCTTATCTAACAAATATCTATATTTTCTATGACTTTTTTTGTTTGGTGTTAAAATAGGTAACATAGGATGACACACCACTTTAATTTGAACTCATCATAATGTAGCATGCGTCATATCTATCTCCAGTATTTCCAAAACTGTTAAGGAAATGACAACAGCAGCTTTCTGAGGGTAACACCACCCACATAAGGAACATCAGTGGAAACACACAAGGTCAACTCATGCACACATAGAGATGTTCACAGCTAACATTTCGATCAAATATAAAGTAAGAAAAGCAGTAATCTCTGGTATATATTACTTACTGTATATATTATCTCATTTATCCTTTCATCCGAGATTACATTTTCTCATTTTCTTCCATCAGTTTTTTTCTCAGTGTCAAGGAACATCTTCCTAACAAAACATTTCATGATAGTAAATAACCTGTTTTACAATTTGTTATTTGTTTACTGTATTAATTATTTTACTTTGATGAAAAAATTAAAAATGTATAATAAACTATTATTGTTATAAGTCATATTCTATAAGTCTCCTCAAGCACTTAAAATCAATCTGCTTTTACTTCTATTCAATCATTTCTGGTATGAGGAAGACAAACTTATCGTGTTTCTCCTTTAAACTGATTTTAAACCACTGAATTAAGAGTATTTTGGACCACACACAGGCAACACATTGTTACCAGTAATTGTGTTAAAAATGAGGTATGAGCTTCTTAACTACAGTTAAAGAAAACCAGCAATTTGATTCTTCTGGGCAGACAAAGCTTTGGTCAGTTGCTGTTTTTACAGATAGGATAAATAGAGAGGTCCTGCCCACAACTCCTCTGAATCCTTGTGAAAATATCATGATACTTGTGTCCTCAGGCACCACATCTGTTGTGTTTGCTCTTCTCTGCTGATTTGTTTTAAGAACATTTCATTTGAGTCCTCTTCCATTTTCTATAACTTATTCTCTTTTAAAGTCGTATCCCCTGCTAACTATATTTTCACATTTAGTCTGCTGTCAGTGGGTCTTATTTTATGTAGTAGGGCCGACATGTTTGCTCTAGCATAAAGATTCGATTTTGTTTCTGAGGTTCTTTTGAAAAGGACCTGGCCGGAGTATTTTCTTTATATATATTAGCCTACCCGCTAAAGATATGAACACTTTTAAGGAAACTTTTACATTTAATCTGCTAAAATGGGAGTCACAGACGTGCAATTAGCAATTTGTTTTCAGCTGCAGGTCTTCTAAAGCGCTATATAATGATGATGAAAATCAAAATTACTATGATTTTGTGTATTTCTGTTCCTTTTTAAACCTTGATGTGTCTGTTCTTTCAACCTTAATCATGGGCACAGGGGTCCTTTTGACATTCAGTACATATTCAGCATATTATAAAGCACCTAAAGGCTTTTTACATTCAGATCTCTTGATGTCATGCTGACTTTATAGGTATAAAAAAGTTTTAATTAGTCTTTGTGGATTTATTTTTGCAGACGGAGTGTGCCAACTTTGTTCGCCTTCTGCAGCCGTACAATCGTACTCACCTATTGGTTTGTGGTACAGGTGCCTTCATGCCCATGTGTGCCTTTATCTATGTGGGCCACAGAGGAGAGGTAAGCAGGGATGGGAGGGACAGTGTACATCTGTTCTTTGTCTGGATGTAATAAAACTAACAGTTTTGGAACAGCTGGGGGTTTTAACAGGGACTTTTGAGCATGCCTCTGCAGAGAACAACAATTGCTGTTAAAACAAGTTCTCTTGAGTGTGTGCTGAGCTGCGCTATGCGTTTTTTTAAAAAAAAAAAGCTTTAAATGATAATTTAATAGAGAAAAAAACAAAAACTTCAAGGATTTAATAGATGATAATCACAGTGTCTTGTGACAAAGGATGTAGATTTGCCAAACCACAGAAAATAAACTAAGAAACTAAAGATTAAATAGGTAGATTAACATCAGGGCTCTTTGGCTTTAACTGTATCTCCATATTCTTTAATGGTGTTATATAACTAGCTTAAAGTATGGTTTCAAGATAATATGAGAGTGGAATATGAGGTTGAGTGGAGGGCTAACTCTTAGTATGCACATATACTGTAATTTATGAATTTGACTGTTTCAAATAGAAGCCATTCTTGTCAATATAGCGATTCCCACTGACTCCATGGCACTGCTGCATAATAGAAAGCCTTGTTTAAGTCAATTTTTAAGAGATGATTTTGTTTTGTTCAACTGCTGTACAAACATATATACAGTGAATATAACAGTGGATATAACATTCAAGAAAATTGTATAATATATATTCAATACATATTCAGCATTCAATTTATATACTATAGCACAAAAACAGCCTTTAGTGGCTGAAAAAAGAATGAGAGTTGCATTACAATCAAATTTCTACCTAAAGGCATGTGGCACAAAGGCAAGGCAAATTTATTTGTAACGTACAGTTCAGTAAAAAGACGTTTCAATGTGTTTTACATGAATTAAACAGTAAAATAGAGGGGAAGTAAAAGCAGATTAAAGGCAAGTAAAGAGAAAAACATGATACAAGCAGGTAGTAAAGCAAATAAAACAATTGGATCACAACCATACACCTCAGTTAACAGTTTAACTTCAACAGTCAAAGGCAGCTCTAAACAAATTGTTTTTTAACTTTGACTTCAAAGAACTCAGACTTTCAGCACTTTTACAGTCTTCTGGGAGATGGTTCCAGGTAAGTGGAGCATAGGAACTAAATGCTGCTTCTCCATGTTTGGTTCTAGTTACTGTATGTGTGTACAGAATAGACTGTAACTAGAAGACATAAGAGGTCTGGGAGGTTGGTACACTGACAGCAAATCTTTTATGAATTAAAGTGCTGATCCATTCAGTGATTTATAGAATCACTGAAGGATTTTAAAGTCTCTTCTCTGAGCTACAGGGAGCCAGGGAAGGACTTCAGAACTGGGTTGATGTAGTCTACTTTCTTATAGAGGGCATCAGCCCAGAAAATCATACACCTTAAACAAAGGCAAGAAAAAGAAAATAATAATCAGAAATGGTTCTAAATGCACTTAGGTTTAAACAGCAAATGATATCACTGGTTCTTTCAAATCAATTTGACTCAAAGCAGATGTCTACAAAAGTTCAAACCCATTAAATTGAAAATTTAAGTTTCAGAACAGCTTAGTCAGAGATAAAAATTGTATTTAACAGAAAATCTATGCAGTAATCTGGCCAAGGATGCAGACTAGACATTACCTTTGGGATGCTAAAAGAGAAAAAAAAACATTCTCTGGATCTAAAACCCCTTAATGGAAGAATTGCAGTAGGATCGCTGGTAAGATAGGAGGATTAAAACTTTTAGGTTAGGAAACCAGATCTTAATCAACTAATTATTTACAGTATAAACAATTGACAAATTAAAATGTAGAACTTTTCCCAAGTATTTCTTTTGTTTTCTATTTTATTTTACAGATATATTATTTTGCAAATAAGATTCTCAAAATGCATTTTCTAATGATCAAGGAGAAATGAAATACCATAGAGAAAACTAATACCATAGTGCTTGATGTGGTGGCTTAAAAAACTGCTTTGAAAGAGCAAAATGCAGGTTTTCTTGATAGCCAAAACCTATATGGTTGAATGTAAGTCTAAATCTTTTTAATTTCAGACAGTATAAAGTTTGACTGACATCCCTAATATGAAGTGCAATAAATAGCAACTGAGAAGTACAAGTGAAATGTTTTATCCTTGAAAAAACTTGTTTGTAGTGGGGAGTGAGCCACAATACTTTAGAATAGATCAAATATTAGAAGAGAAACGATACCCATGCAAGATGCCATGCATTCTGAAGAATTACTTGGTGTTATTTAAGTTCCTCTGTAAGGGAAAGCTTTTGGTTATAGTTTCTAAAAGAAATAAATTAACCAAGGCAGGCTGGGGACTGGATACAAATCACATAGGTCTCAACAGACAGCTGTGGCATTAGTTTTACCGTTGGGCTACTCAGCCACAGCACAAGTCTCTCTATACATCTTTTTAATCACTTGCCCACATTTATTTAAAGGATGAAACCCTATGAATGAAGCTATTAAAGCAAATCTGTCTGTTGCTGGCAGTTCAAGGCAGTTTTTCTAGATTTGTTTCCCCCTGCAAATGCCCAGCAGGAGGTGAAGGTCAAAATCCGGATATGGAGAATGGCTAGCTGATATTGGCAGAGCTGTTTAAGAGAAATGAGGGCAATGGCAAAATGCCAACCATTGAAATAGCGCATGCATTGATTTGTGAGCATCTATAAAAGAAACTCAGTGTGGTAAAACATTTTCCCCTTTTTCTTAAGTATTTAGGTGGTCATCCCTGTGTGGTTTTTCATTGTGGTGCAGTTTTCTCCTCTCTTTACAATCTGTCAATTTACTCTGGGTTTTACTCTGAGGATTTTAAGGCACCGCAGAAGAAAAAAGCTGCAACAAAAAAAAAACAAGTAAGCTGGATTCCTGCAAAACTAGTGGGGCTTTAGATATAAGATGATTTTATAAAAGGCTGGCCATTTGTTTAGAACTGTCAGATGTTCCTACAATTAACATTTGCAGCAAGCAAGCAAGAAAATACATGTAATTAAAAAACAAGTTTTATTAAATATATAATGCTACATGCTGTATATGTATTTATAAAATTGGATTTCTCTTATATTTTGTCACACTGTAACTATGTCAACGAGTTATTGGTATTTTTTCAGAAAAAAGGAAGACAAAGTTTTTTATAATAATAATAAAAAAAGAAAATCTGAAAGTTTTTTTCAGGGTGATATGCGGTGTTAATTTTCTGCCACACATTGTGTTTTGCAAAAAATGTAATTTTCATCTCATCTGACAGAGCGTTCTCTTCCATGTTTCTTATGTTCCATGTAATGATTACGGCAGACCTTAAAAGGTAGGCCTACATGCTTTTTACATTGTGCCATTCTTGTCTTCTCTCCTCCATTATTTTCCCATGGGCCTCTTGGCTGCTTACTCTGATAAACTCTTTCCTCACACGACTTGCTAGATAAGATTGTTCCATGTTCCTTGTGAGGCTCGGATTACTATTTCTAAGGAAGCAGTGCTCCAAATGTCTCCAAACCTTGTTTGCTGTGTTCTGCGGTCTTCATGATGCTGTTTGTTGGGGATTATTTTCTTTGCCATACCTTCATAGAACAGCAATGCAACTAATTAAGCCCTGAACACACTGAATCAGATTTTGTGTCCGATCTGACAAAAGCTTTGTACGGGAATGTGCCTTTTGGCGCTTATTGAAAATTAATGGAGATGAATACAAACTGCAAGGGGTCTTGTGAAGCTCTGACTGAAATTAACCCCACGTCTCTTTTAGTTGGAGCTACAATTCAGCTGCAATTTCATGGGTCTGACAGGAAAAGTCGTCCACTTTGCGGGAAAATACAAAATAAACAGCCAGTTTTGGAGTCGTGCAACAAATATACAGAATATAGCATACAGGGAAGATTGTCAATGTAACCTATAATAGTGAGTTCAGGAGGACAGACAAAGGGTAAAGCAAAATACTGATCTTCAGCATGATCAAAAAGTGAGGGGCAGAGAGTTAAGGTAGGCGCAGCCTATCACTCTACCCTCTTTAAAAAAAAAACGAAAATAAAATTGGCAAACATTGCAGAAAGCTCTCAGAATAACCTCTGAATGCCTCATCCCGTACCTATATAAACCATGCCATAGCCTTTATTCCTACTTTTTTTCCTTTTCCTTATACAGTATGTAGTTCCCGTTATAACTTGAATTTAGGCCAGTTAAAATCCTCTATCTGTTTTGCGCAGCAGTCTGGCCATGAGAGCAGTAGTACCGTAGATCATCACTAGGAGGCAATGTGTAAATGGTCGTAAGGAACCGAGCTTGGGACAGTCGGTCTGAACTCGGCCTGGATTGTTTTTCAGAGGGTTAGTGTAAATGGGGTTATTGTTTCAACCTGTGGGGAACAGAGACAGATATGGAAACAAAACTTGCTCAGATCACCCTGTGTAGTCGGAGCCTCTCTACGCACTGCCTTCAGTGTGGCGTGGGAAAAAATTGTATCCAAAATTAAAAAGTGGGATGTTACCGGTGCGACCCGGCCTTAAGTCAAATACTGGTGCAATCAGTTACCGGTTACATTCTAAAGAGGCTGATCTCCAATGTTGGGAAAATGTAAAATAATTTTTCTTACATCCACAAGTGTTTACTACTGTGTTTTATTCTTATGTTTGTTTCATAAATGCAGATTTTTTTTTATATATATATACAAAATACAGTATAACAGACTTATTTAACAGATAAATAGCTCTCAGATTCTCTCTGCGGCTTCTATGTTTAAGTGCTGGAATCACCCAGGGATAAGCCAAGGCCTCAGGTAGTCAGAGTCTGTTTGACAGAAGAGCACTAAAGGGAGCCTGTCAATTTACTGAAACAATCGTTTACTGCTGGATAGCACACAACTGCCTGTTTTTGTGACCTCTCCCAGGAAATGAGCCTCCAAGGCTCTGGGTGGGATGACCTTTGACCTACTAGGTGTTTCATCTCGGTTAGGGGCCGATGCACCTATTTACTTTCTATTGCTCTCACACCAGCCCACCGGTGCAACCAACGTTGATG